TGATCAACAAAACTAATATTTAACAATTAAACAACGAAATAATAATGATAATATTCATAAAATTATTAGTGAAAATGTTTGTAAACTTGGTTGTTATTTAACTTATAAAAAAGCTTCTATTCTTGTTGATTATGCTGATCCAGAATATGAACATGAACTTTCATCTTTAATTACAATACATGATATTATTTCACAAGAACGTTTTAAAACTTTATTAAAATTAACGAATAATAAAATTAATTCTGAAGAACTTTCTACAATTATTCTTCCAAAACAACAAGTGTAAATCACTATAGATTTAAAAAGTTTTTTTTTCCCTTAATTAGAAAATCAAATTTTTTTTTTGTGGAATTGAATGTAAAACTTTGCTTGATTCATTTCATCAACGTATTAATTATCGACAGAAACGTTTTAAACGCATTGAAAATTTACAAAAACTTCTTCTTTCATCCATATTAACTGAAAAATTTCTAGAAATGATTTCAGACTTAGGTATAGAATATTTTACTCATATTATTTCTAACAGTTAGTTATGATATATATTACAAAGTATTTTAAGGAGAGAGATATTTTTCCATCCTCTACAACATGCTTCCGAAATCGGCCACTTTGTATAGTACCTTCAAGTATCTGAATTTGACAATATCTTCCAGGTTGACTCACATATAACAGAAGTCATGAGGTTTGCAAAAATAGATTTTTTCTTCTTAAAAAATCATTCACTAAGGTTGCCTTTATGAGGTAACATATTGTTCTTTTAGAAGAAATGACGTTTTCTTGAAGTCAGAGGTAAGAAAAAACAAATTTTAATTCTAAAATTTAGACATACTGATTAATCTTGTTTTTATAATTCTTCAATACAACGTCCCACTATCCTGTAATGTAGAGACTAAATACTTGGAGAGTAGGCACTTGTACATAGAAAATTTCATTGGAAACTAATGATGTTATAGCGGATAATTTAACGTTTTATGAAGTCTGCATTTTTCATACTATACTACATTCAACTGTCAAACCGCTGG